CAGCCTTCACTGATCAGAGCCTGGGGCTTGCAGAGCATTCCTACCCTGGCTCCGTCATTCAGAGATTCAAGCACCTGAGAGATATCCCTATTCAGCCTTTCGAACATGTCCATCCTCTTCTCCTGATTGGTGCTGATCATACCCATCTGATCACTCCCACCGCTCCAGTCCGGCTGGCAGCACCAGATGGCCCAGCTGCCATCAAGACCCGCCTAGGATGGGTGCTCCAGGGTCCTGCCCGCCACCTCCAGACCCAGATGCCATCACCACAATGTCTCCACATCTCTCTCAGTCCTGCCGAGGTGGAGATGAAGAGGAACGTTGAGAGGTTGTGGCAACTCGACCAACTACCTTACCGCTGCGAGAAGCAGGCGACCAGGTCAAGGGAGGACCAGGAAGCCATTGCCCTCCTAGAGGCAAAGACCATCAGGCAGGAGGTGAGTGGGGTGCTCCGCTATGCCACTCCACTGCTTAGGAGAAAGGGCTTCCCCCAGTTCCAAGCTCCCAAAGAAGCAGTGATGCCACTCCTCAGAGGTACCGAAAGACGCCTGGCCAAAGACCCTGTTAAAGCAATGGCATACACGGCCGAAGTCCATAAACTCCTGGAGAGCGGGATTGCAGCAAAACTCCCTGCAGAGGTGACCCCCAGTAGGGAAAGCTGGTACCTACCACCTGAAGCCAGATCCCCTAACCTTGAGCTATGGCTTTCACAGGACAAAGCAGAAGCACAGGAGTCTACTCTAGGATTAAGTTGGAACTGCAGCACTGATTACCTTGGCTTCAAGCACAGACCCGTCTCCTACAGCGCCCTTACCATGAGGACCATCTATCGCGTATTGGCGATACAATACGACCCGCTAGGTGCCCTCCTACCCTTTACCACCCGAGCGAAGGTAATAGTACAGCAGTTGTGGGACAAGACCAGGGGTTGGGACGACCCTGCCTTGCCGGATCATCTACTGCAGGCATGGAAAGAGTGGGAAGCAGACCTTCAACACCTGCCACAAATAACCATCCCAAGGTGCTACACCCCTGCATACATGGATGACCCCCAAGTGACCCATGAGGTACACATATTCTCGGATGCCTCAGAGAGAGCATATGGGTCTGTAGCCTACCTCCGCTCTGTGGGACCCGATGGACTTGTTAACATTTCATTCTTACTAGCAAGATCCCGTGTGGCACCACGGAGGCAGCAATCCATACTCAGACTGGAGCTGTGTGCTGCTCTTACCGGAGCACAACTGGCAAAGCTACTAACCAACGAGCTCACCTTGTCCATACAAGAGGTGATATGCTGGTCAGACTCTACTACAGTTCTCCACTGGTTACGTTCTGAGTCCTGCCATTTCAAGGTGTTTGTCGGCACACGGGTGGCCGAGATTCAGGAACTCACCAAGGCGGAGGCATGGCGGTATGTAGGATCCCAACAGAATCCTGCAGATGACCTAACTCGAGGCCAGAAGTTAAAGGACCTATTTGGACCAAATCGTTGGTTCCAGGGACCTCCTTTCCTACTGCAGCCAAGCAGTGAATGGCCTTTGAACCCATGTGCACCTGTGCCTCCTGATGACAATGAACGAAAGAAGAGTGCCTTTTGTGGCCTTACTATCTCCCCTTCATTGGCGGATAGGAAAGAGTATCGCAGCTGGAAAGCACAAGTTGAAGCTACAGCGGAACAGATTCACAAAGACTCCAACCAGACGGGTCAACCCCCTGCTGAGACCTACCGTGAAGCAGGGCGTCAAGTCTTTAGGCAGGCTCAGATGGACAGCTTTCCTGAAGACTACCTTCTTTTACAGACTGGTAAATCCCTTCAGCGCAACAGCAGGCTGCTGTGCCTGTCCCCAGAGTTTGAGGATTCCAGTCAGCTTATCCAGGTAGGAGGTCGTCTGCGACGTAGCAGAGCTCTCAGTCCAGAGGTGGTGCACCCCATTGTCTTGGACCCCAATCACCAGAGATGCCAGCTATTGACCAAGGACGATGATGACAGACTGCATCATCCTGGGCCTGAAAGAGTCTATGCAGAGCTACGTAGGAAAGCGTGGATCCTCAGAGGCCGTGAGGCCATAAAGAAACACCAACGCCAATGCTTAGAATGCTGTAAGCTTAAAGCCAAACCTGCCAGCCAGAAAATGGTAGACCTGCCTCCAGCCCGACCGCAGTTATTTAAACCGGCGTTTCACTCCACAGGAATGGACTGCTGTGGCCCCCTCACCATCAAGATTGGGCGTCGTACTGAGAAACGATGGGGCTTGATATTCAAGTGCCTCACCACCAGAGCCGTTCATTTGGAGGTGCTCACGTCGATTGACAGTGATGCATTCCTTATGGCCTTGAGAAGGTTTATTGCCCGCCGTGGCACTCCACTCGAACTGTATTCGGACCATGGCACCAACTTCCACGGGGGACAGAAGGAACTGGAGACCAGCTTTAACCAGCTTAACCCACAGCTGCAAGACATTTTAGCTAAAAGGCAAATCCACTTCAACTACAATCCCCCTGCTGCCCCGCATTTCGGAGGAGTCTGGGAAAGGGAGATCCGATCCGTTAAGGTAGCACTACGCGCTACCCTGGGAGCAGAGACTGTTACGGAAGAAGTTCTGACCACTGTCCTTGTCGAAATAGAAGCCATCTTGAACTCCAAACCCCTTGGATACGTTTCATCAGACCTGTCAGATCTTGACCCGGTGACCCCAAATTGCCTCTTGATGGGGCGGCCAAACACCTCTCTTCCCCAAGTTGTTTACCCCACATCTGAGCTTTTAAGCAAGAGACGATGGCGACATGTGCAGGTACTGGCTGAGCAATTCTGGTCATCCTTTATAAAATACTACCTGCTCGGCCAACAGACCCGAGGGAAGTGGCAGGGTTCGGCACCAAACATCGAAGCAGGCACCGTTGTCATGATAGTCGACACCCAGCTTCCCCGATCTGCCTGGCAAATCGGCAAAGTGTCCAAGGTTTTCCCTGGTGCCGACGGTAAAGTAAGGAGCGCCGAAGTGCAGATCCAAGACCGTACCTACACAAGACCAATCGCCCGCCTAGTCGTGCTACCTGAGGTTCCGGATTAAAGATCGACTCAGAGACTAACCCACTGCTGTACGTTGGCCTTTCCAGGGAGCAAATTTATCCCAAATTTGGGGGCGGCTGTGTTGGAAAGGCCACCAGGTGGCACACTTGCGCACTCAGCTCTTACTCTCTCAGAGCAGAGCTGGCAACAGTACAGAGGAGACCACCGAGCAGAGCAGGTGGAGAAGCACATGAGACAGCAGAGTGGAGGAGTTTTACTTAGCTAGTTCCCAGGTTAAGTCAGTTTTGTGTGCGTGAATGACTGCTAAACCACACACTCACCTACCAACATCCCTGTTAATGTTAATGAGTTGAATACTCATTGCTCAGCCCTGCATCATTGTTCTGCGTGCCCCTGTGCATTGCTGTTACTACTACTTTTCACATGAGAATAAAGAGGCCAAGTTGAAATAAAGCCTGAAACTGTGTTCTTACCGACACCCCAGGAAGACACCCTTTAACTCCCTCCCTGATACAGTCCATCTACCTACTAACAATCTAACAGGAACAATGAGAGAATCTTGTTGAAGAGTTCAGCCGTACCAGAAATCTGGGTACGTTTTGTATTTTTTTATTAATTTATTCCGGCTATGTCCGCCATATTCATGCAATCATCTTCACACCAATGATGGTTGATCGTAGACTGCTGTAGCTTTGTCAACAATCTGTGTTGATGTGTGAGTTTTGTGTAGCAAATGCACGTAACGTAGCACAGGGGATCATCATGTACTGTTATACCTGTTGAAGCGTTGCTAAACTGAAAAATGAATCGTATTACAGTTGTGCAAAGTTGCAGTGACAGTGGCTTTCAACTTCGACTGGGCGGGTGCTGGAACATCACATGGTAACTCTCCCGGTTCATGACAGAGAACTGTTTCTCTACGACAAAATCATCAGCTAGCTATTAAAAATTGGCTTGTTGTTGTACAGGGAAACATTTATCTAACCGTGCATAGGACAATAAAAAGTTTCAGGCTAATCAAACCTATTTGATCTGATGTTCAACAAGGTATGCAGTAGTACACCTTCTGCTACTAGTGGAACCGAACCCACAGAGGCCTGCAGTTACACCCAGCATATGCAGAACTTGAAGGACTCCCAGAGTCGACACCTCGAAATTCTTCAGCTAAGTACAGCACATGGAGCTGATTCGGAAAAGTCCTGCTGACACCTTCAGAGGAACACGGACATTTGGGTTTTTCAGAACCTTTTTGTAGGATTTGAATCACTTTGATCCAAAAAAATCAGGATTAAACGGATCCCATCAGAAGGGTGGATTCAGCATGAATTTCATGCCCAAAATGTAATGAAAACTTTAAAAATGTATCAAATAATACTATATATGGATCATGCAGTATTTTACAAGATATCCTATATATTCACAAGGTTTTAGTTTTATTTGTTCTTCCATCAGGCTACAGTGATTAAGTAGGCTTTAACGTATTCAGCCTTTCAGTACAGGCCTACTGATCCAGAGAGCGTATTTATATTGAATCTCAGCTCTGTTCGTGAGGAAGCAGCTGGTTTCTCATTGGTTGAGCCAGTGGTAGTTGCCACAGGATCTCAGAGGAAAGGCTTGAAGCGCCCTTCATCAAACAAAGATGATGGTTACAAGGCACTTCAGCAAAGACAGACTGACAGGGCAGAAGCACAGCTTCGTCTGGCAGAGGAACAACAGACTCTGATTAAACTGCAGCAAACCAAGGCCAGACTTGAGGAAGTCTGAAATTATTGTGGAGTTGCAAAATTGTTACACCAGCTTCCAGCACTCACCTGGAAGGTATCTCAGAACAGCAGTTTGGTTTTTGGGGTGAAACTATGTGCTCCAAATACCACAGAAGTCAACTCTACTGGCAGTTTGTATCAACTTCTCCGACCGCTGGATCACCGGCAGCCTTCACCACAAGGACTCGTAGATTCTGCACAACTGGCGTGGGATGGTGTTTTTAATAGAGATTGTTATACCATACATTCAGACTTATTTTACAACCCAGACATAACAATTTTCTAAGACACTTGGTTTTGCTACATAACATCTAAGTACACATTCCATCATTTCATTCATTGTCCCAGTTATCTTGTTTCAACCATAATTTATCATCATTTGTTCCGTGTCATCATTAATAAATGGTAAATGGCCTGTATTTGATATAGCACCTTCTGGAGTCCTGGAAACCCCCCAAGGCGCTTTACAACACAATCAGTCATTCACCCATTCACACACACATTCACACGCTGGCGGGGATGAGCTACGGTGTAGCCACAGCTGCCCTGGGGCGCACTGACAGAGGCGAGGCTGCCGAGCACTGGCGCCACCGGTCCCTCCGACCACCACCAGCAGGCAAGGTGAGTTAAGTGTCTTGCCCAAGGACCCAACGACAGCGACAAACTGAGCAGGGGCTCGAACCTGCAACCATTTGATTACGGAGCGAGCACTTTACTCCTGTGCCACCGTCGCCCACACAGTAGTAGAAATGTAGTATTAAATTTGTTTTTAGGAACTATTTCTCGCTCTATCTCAAAATATTACGAAGGTGTGATTTTCCCTGAACTACCAAAATGACCTGGTTTCATTTTAGATGAAATTTCTAAAGATCAATATTGATATTTCATATATACATATATATGGAAATATCACATCTTATTGATCATTTATTAAAAGTAACCATTAGGTCATGTTACACAACCAAAAGGCTTCTGTCCAGGGTGGACACTCGTGTGATTATTTAAACTTATCTTTTGACTAAATCCTTGTCCACAGAGCTCACATATAAAAGGCTTCTGTCCTGTGTGGACTCTCGTGTGTCTGTTTAAATCTGTCTTTCGGTTAAATCCTTTTCCACACAGCTCACAGGCAAAGGGCTTCTGTCCTGTGTGGACACTCATATGACTGTTTAAACTTGCCTTATAACGAAATCTTTGACCACACAGCTCACAGGCATAAGGATTCTGTCCTGTGTGGATTCTCATGTGACTGTTTAAAGTTGTCTTTTGGTTAAATCTTTGTCCACAGAGCTCACAGGCAAAAGGTTTCAGTCCTGTGTGGATTGTCATGTGAATGTTTAAATTATTCTTATGACTAAATCTTCGTCCACACAGCTCACAGACAAAAGGCTTATGTCCAGTGTGGACACTCATGTGACTTTTTAAACGTGTCTCATGTCTAAATCTTTTTCCACAGAGATCACAGGCAAAAGGCATCTGTCCAGTGTGGACACTCATGTGACTTTTTAAACGTGTCTCATGTCTAAATCTTTTTCCACAGAGATCACAGGCAAAAGGTCCAGTGTGGACACTCAAGTGACTTTTTAAACGTGTCTCATGTCTAAATCTTTTTCCACACAGCCCACAGGCAAAAGGCTTCTGTCCAGTGTGGACACACATGTGATCTTTTAAACTTGTCTCATGTCTAAATCTTTGTCCACAGAGCTCACAGGCAAAAGGCTTCTGTCCTGTGTGGATTCTTATGTGTATGTTTAAAGTTGATTGTCGGGTAAATCTTTGTCCACAGAGCTCACAGGCAAACGGCTTCTGTCCTGTGTGGACTCTCATGTGATCTTTCATATGTGTCTTATGACTAAATTTTTGTCCACACAGCCCACAGGCAAAAGGCTTTTGTCCAGTGTGGACACGTATGTGACCTTTTAAACTTGTCGTATGACTAAATCTTTTTCCACAGAGCTCACAGGCAAAAGGCTTCTGTCCTGTGTGGATTCTCATGTGAGAATTTAAATTCGTCTTTCGTTTAAATCTTTGTCCACAGAGTTCACAGGCAAAAGGTTTCTGTCCAGAGTGGATTCTCATGTGAATGTTTAAAGTTGTTTTTCGGTTAAATCTTTGTCCACAGAGATCACAGGCAAAAGGCTTCTGTCCTGTGTGGATTCTCATGTGATCTTTTACATGTGTCTTATGACTAAATTTTTGTCCACACAGCCCACAGGCAAAAGGCTTATGTCCAGTGTGGACACTCAGGTGATAGTTTAAACTTGTCTCATGTCTAAATCTTTTTCCACAGAGCTCACAGGCAAAAGGCGTCTGTCCTGTGTGGATTCTTATGTGTCTGTTTAAATGTGTTCGTAGGTTAAATCTTTGTCCACAGAGCTCACAGGCAAAAGGCTTCTGTCCTGTGTGAACAGTCATGTGACTGTTTAAACTTGTCTTTTGACAAAAACTTTTTCCACAGAGCTCACAGGCAAAAGGCTTCTGTCCTGTGTGGATTCTCATGTGACTGTTTAAACTTGATTTTCCTATAAATTCTTTTCCACAGTGATCACAACTAAATGTTTTAGTCTTTTTCTGGACTTCCCTACAGGAGTCTGCATGTTGCTTCACTATAACACATTCCTTACTAACACAACAGCCTGAAGACCTTGTTGCTAAATGACTTGTCATTTCTGCTGTCACATGGTCAGCTGAGCTGCTCGCTGGAACATCTCGGTCTTCTGTTTGCTGCTGATGAAGCTGTGAGACGAGAGGTTTTTCTTCATCATCCTCACTCTTTATAGAACCAGCAGTGAATAGAAATCTGGCAGCATCAGTCTCCTTTAAATGTAGCTGCTCTCTCTCCAGGCTGGTCCAGAGGTCGTCCTGTTCCTCCTTTATGCGAAGGTGTTCTGGTTCCTGCTGGTCCTCACCAGCACTCTGTTCTTCATGAGCTTCTTCTTTAACCAGCGCCATTATTTTAACACCTGTAGGAAAAACAGAAACACAGTGAATTACTGAATGCTGTAACTTTCTATTCACACATCTAACAGTAATATTATTGCTTTAAAGAGCAAGTAACATCCAAACCAACTATTCTTTTGGCTGATAAACTGTATAAATGAGTATCTAATAGTGTTGTAGACATTCAAGTTTTTTCATTTCAATTCAATTCAGTTTATTTGTAAAGCGCAAAATCAGGACCAGAGTCGTCTCAAGGACCTTCACACAGTAAACATTCCAGTACAGGTCAGGTCTAGGGCTGGGGGTAAACGATTATTTTTAAAACGATTATTCTGACGATTAGTTTATCGAATAGTCGACCATTTTAATGACTATTTAGACGATTAATCTAACGATTATTTTTCTATTGCACAATGAATAAAAACAAGAAAATCTCAAATAAATTCCTCCAAAAGTATGATAAATTGTTACTGTGAGAGAATAAACGCTATAGGCCTTCCATTTTGTACAACAATGCTTTTATTGTGTTGGTTATGTTCTGGTGACATGTCGAACTTGGGAGTGCAGGCTGTTGCCTGAGAGGTGGTTGACAATGGAGTGTCTCCATGCTGATTTGTTTTGGTCACTTATGTGCGTGAGGCGAGTGGTGTTACGACTCTTCCTGGGGAGTTTGCCTCGTGTGCAAAAAGAAAGGGACAATAACACAGGATTTAAAAGTTAAAATGATGATCAGGTTTATTTAAAAACAACAAAAAGACATAAATCTTTCCATCCAAAGGTTGGGAATAATAATACTAATTCTGCCTGTGGGGAATTAAAACAAAAGTACAAATAACTAGGGATGCTTGTTAGATCCTGTGCAGGCGACTGTAATGCAGCGTTTATATATCTATGTATTAATTATAATTGTCTCTGTCTGTTTAGCACACACTCCCACCCCACCTGCCCACAAGAGGAGAAGACGCCGAGCTCTGGATGCAGCTGCCAGTCTGGAGGAGTACCTGAAGACGGCGGCGGAGAACGACAGGATGGATCTGGAAATTAAAAGGCAGCACCTGGCGAACGAGACCGCTTGGCTCCAGGAAAGCGCTGCTACGCGTCAGCGTTTGATGGAGGACGTCCAAGACACCCAGAATCTCCTGCGGGAGATGATGATGGAATGCCAACAGGCCAGCAGTTGCGACCAGGTAAACATAAGACAGTATTATGACCTCTGAATACCCCAAGATGCCTGGCGACATGCATTTTAAAATATGTAAATATGGACAGTGTGCTGTGTGTTCGCGGTGTTTTGCTTTTCATTTATAAAACTTTTGCATGTGCGTGTTTTTCTATAGTTTTCTTGTTACTTTTTACTATTTTATTTTTAATAAATTTCATTTTGCCAAAGAAATGGACCAGTGTGCTTAAGTTTTTGCATTTCTATAGAAAGGACATCACCTGTGTTTGGACCAGTGAAAGGATGCTGAAACTGTGTGTCCTAAATGTTCTTTGCTACTTAACAACATGCCAACAAAAGTTGTAGGAGCCATATGTGTTGTTTTCATTTTCTTTCTGCAAACATGAGAGGAGGCTTGGCCTCACTTGATTGGTTAATTGATTGTGGAAGCACCAGCGTACTTAAGCCAAGACAGATTAGACTCAGGTGTGGCTGTGACGGGACAAGCAGTTTTTTACTGTGTGGCGAGGACTGTGGCTGTGAGTAACGGACTCTGCGGACTGTCATGGGGCAGGTAACGTATTCATTGAAAACCACTTTAACTGCAGTGAATGGATCATGGGCTTTGTGGAAGAAGACAAATTAATAAACATCATCAGAAATAAACACAAGCTGCAATTATTTTAAACACACGTAAAGTCTACCAACCGCCTCAGTAACCAGTAGTGCCAATGTATAGAGCATTGGTATTATATATGCACATGTCTATAATATATTTATTATTTATTTATTTATTTAACTTATGTTTTCAGGAGGATAAACTGCTTGAGATGTAACATCTCGTTTTCGAGCAGGTCCTCCTACAACACAACCAATAACAAATAAGGTGGCAGAGTTAGAAAGTTATAACAGACTTAAAAAACAAAAGAAAAGGAAAGTAAATAAATAATAATAGTAAAATTAACGATATGTATAAATATATTTACACGTAAATTTAAACACATAAGCATGGATACATAGATACCCACCCGTGTACATACGTACATACATACCTATATACAAAATTAAATTAAATAAAACTGCTGTGAGGCACTCAAAGAGAAATAAGGGCAAGAAATTACACCGTAAATAAACCTAAGTGAAGTAGTATCCCAACTGAATACAAAGTTTGGCAACAAAATACAGCATGTTAGCCAGTGAATGCACAAAGTCATTATAATAAAGATTAAACAAAGCAACTACAGCTTGGCTTTACATAAGCATAAACAGTGCGGGAAAACTGACGAATTGTTGAGATGGATCTTAATTCAGCGGGTAATTTATTCCAGTCCAGAGGAGCTTTAACACAAAAGGCGAGTCTACCCACCTCCTTTGTAAAACGAGGAACAACAAACGATGGAAGAGTAGTTAAGCGGGTGGAATACAAGGAATCAATGGGAACCAAAAGAGTTTTTAGATAAAGTGGAAAATCAAAATAAATGCACTTAAACATAAATATCAACCAATGAAATTGTCATCTAGCTTTTAAAGGAAGCCAACCAAGAAGCTCATACATATAACAATGATGAGTGTTAAAGGAACACCGCAAAATGAAACGACACAAACTGTTGTAGACGACATCAAGAGACCGCAGGCTAGAAACTGTTGAGTTTTGGTACAAAATATCTGAATAATCAATAATTGGCAACAGAAGCTGAGTGACAATGCGCTTTCGTACAATAGGTTCGAAGCAGTTTATTGAGTTGTAAAGGATACGTAAACACCGTGTGACCTTAAGACATGTCGTGTGAATGTGAAATTTAAAAGGCAGCTCTGGCTCCAGCCAAACTCCTAAATATTTCATTTTAACAGAAGGATGAACCGGCGAAGAATCCAAAAAATAAAGATTAAGAGTCCTGTCACTTTCAGATAGAGTACTACTTCTATGAAACAGCATGGAGTAAGTCTTAGATTTATTTAAAAGAAGTTTGTTCTGAGCTAGCCAGAGCTGCACTTCGTCAAAATTAGGCTGAATAGCTTGTTGTAATTCGGATTTACTCGACTTAGAACAGTATAAGACCGTGTCATCTGCATATAACTAAACAGAACAGGATCTTTAGCACCGTGGTAAATCATTAATAAAAATTGAAAATAATAACAGCCAAGTGAAGAGCCTTGGGGAACACCTCTGATGACTCCTCACATGTTGGATTCAGAACCATTAAAGGAAACAAATTGAGAGTGATGATGAAGATAAGAACTAAACCACAGTAGAGACGGCCATGACAGACCAAAAGCATATAATTTATCTAAAAGTAGATAGTGATTGACGAGGTCAAAGGCTTTTGTTAAATCAAGAAAAATCACACCACCAAATAAATTATTGCCAAAACCAGAATAGATGTCATTAGAAAGTTTAAGCAGTGCAGTAGTTGTCGAGAAGTTTTTTCTGAACCCCGATTGGTACCGAGATAGTAGGTTGTTGTCCTCTAAGTATTTAGATAGCTGGATAAAAACCAGTTTTTCAAATACTTTAACAACTGTATTAATTATAGCAATGGGTCTATAGTTATTAGGTTCAGATGTATCATTTCTTTTATGCAGTGGAATTATTTTAGTACATTTCCAAGCTTTTGGAACAGAACATGAGTTAATAGAGTGATTAAAAAGAATAGATAATGGTGTCGTGTGCCCGTCCCATTTACCGGTTCCTTTAAAACCTAGTTCCGTTAGAACTTATGAGACGGTGCATCCATCAGGGTTCGATGGGGATGTCGGTGAGTATTATAGTATCAGATCCTGGTTTGGGCGTCCTAAGTTAGAATCATATCTTTTATTTTAAAGGTGAAATAATATGTAAGACCTTTCCTTCTGTAGTAGCTCACTTCTTTTTAAGCAGTCCCGTTATCTTAAGGTTTCTTTATATTAATCTGTCACAAACCGTAAAGTAAGTCCTGATAATTCCAGAACCCGTAATTAATGTGCTTACCTCTGTGCAATTAATGATCAGAGCCCCCACTCGTGAAGCTTTAGAGAAAACCTGAAAGAATCAGGATTATGTTTCTTTTTCAAAAAAGGTTTATTACAAAATCAAAATACAAAAATGGGTAGATGAAAAAACAACTGCTATCCCCCACGGAGGAATTAGTTCAAAATGATTAAATAAGAGTTAGTTTACACTAGCTCCTGTCTTCTCAGAATCTCCCCAAGAACTCTCTCTAGTCTCTCTCTCTCTGTCATCCCCCATCCAGGTTTGGACGGGGGATGACCCCTCCCCATCTGCTCTCCTCTCTGTCCTCTGCCCCAACTGCTGTCGAATCTCTCAAAACCTATCTGCTGTTCAGAGCTGTTCTTATATACCCTTCCTGGACCAGCTTAAGGTCATGGGGTCATTTACCAGATACACACTTTGTAGCTCAACACAAAACATTTGGTGTCATTTTCCTTCTTAACACAGGTCATTACATCATCTTTTGCAGCATTCTTCAGTTTCTCTCCAATGTTCCCGAGAGGGCTTCTGGATCTGATGGGCTTGTCTTCACTCTGTTCTCCTCCAATCCCATCTTTCCAAGCCAGGGGTGGGGCAAAGAGGTGGGGTCAGTCTCCTGACCCTTCGCCCAGTTCTGTCCTCTTGTCCCTGTGACCCTTGTGTGACCCTTGTTTCTGACCACAGTTTTTTGACCTGCAGCCCAGCTCCTGTCGGCTGGCTGATTTTGCTCGCACAAGCCAGTCCAGTGTGGCTCACCTTTTGACAACGTACTTGCCACTGTCTTTGGCATGTGGGACTCGCAACATCCCCCATGCGAGAAAAATCTAGCCAGGGGACTGCAGCAGCCTTCTTTGGGGTGGGGCTGCCTCCTCCTCTGGATCATCTTCATCTCCAGT